GCATCTAATCATCTAATCTTATCATGTAGTATATCCAACCACAAGACGCTCACGTTCTTGGGCAAGCGGAGCTGGTCATTATTGATGAGGCTGCTGCCATACCCCTCCCTCTTGTGCGAAATTTGATTGGCCCTTACCTTGTGTTCCTGGCCTCGACCATCAACGGATATGAAGGGACAGGGCGAAGCTTGTCTCTGAAACTTATTCAACAGCTCAGGGAGAGCACACGGCCCTCACTATCCAAAGTTCCTGCTGGAACTTCTGCGGGCAAGGATGACGACGCTTCAGCACCGTCGAAAAAGCATTCGAAACCCGCACCCAAAGCTCGCACACTACGGGAGCTCAAGCTCACCACCCCGATACGATACGGAGCCGGGGATAAAATCGAGAAATGGTTGTACAACGTACTGTGTCTTTCAGCCACGACTGTCTCCTCTTCCCACCGAGGAACACCGCACCCTTCGACATGCACTCTGTTCTACGTGAACAGAGACACCTTATTCAGCTACCATCCTGCGAGCGAGGTCTTTCTACAGCGCATGATGGCGCTTTATGTCGCATCACATTACAAGAACTCGCCCAACGATCTCCAAATGCTCTCTGACGCACCAGCGCACCATCTTTTTGTCTTACTCCCACCTATAAAGGACGACGAAGAGGTCCTCCCAGAGCCGCTGGTGGTGCTCCAGGTTGCACTGGAGGGCGGGCTGAGTAAAGAGAAGGTGATGGATGCTTCAGGTAGAGGGCGCGGTGCGAGCGGAGACATGATTCCTTGGGTTGTGAGCGGACAGTTCCTCGAGAGTGGATTTGCGGCGTTGCAAGGAGGGCGAATCGTTCGGGTGGCGTCTGATCCTGATTATGCTGGCGTGCGTAGATCGACCTGATTCTTGGCGCCGTGCTGATTTTATCCCAGATGGGCTACGGCTCCCGAGCTCTGGAGGCCCTGAACTCCTTCTACAGCGGAGAGTACTACAACTTCGATGAAGCCGAGTCAGCAGCGCCCTCATACCCCAATCTCGGGGACTTTGATCCTGTGCGTTTCGTACTGATCTTGGTTCTTAGACCTCTGCTCATCATCGCGCGCAGGCCACAAGCGATCTACGGACGGAGACACCTACCGTCCGCGCAGTATCTAGCATGCCCCCGCTGCTCCAGCGTCTTTCTGAACGGAAACCCGAGATATTAGATTATCTCGGCGTAAGCTATGGTCTCACTGGCCAGCTGCTTCGGTGAGTGGTCCACACCTACGAAGTGATCTCTGAATGTCATCTTCCCTAGGTTCTGGAAGAGAGCCGGCTATGTCCCGCTCTACCTGCGACAGTCCACAAGCGAGCTGACGGGCGAGCACAGCTGCGTTATGGTCCGTGGTCTGAGCAGCTCGTCTGACGGTCAAGAGTGGTTGGGCGAATTCGCAAAGGGTACTTCGCATCCCAACCTCTTCCCAAGAAACACCCGGTCTCATCTTTCGTTCAGACTTCCGAAGACGGTTTTTGTCCCTCTTATCTTACAAATTCCGAGAATTTGGGAGTGTGACGGCCTTGAGCATATTGGAAGCCGTGAACGCGGGCCTAAAAACCGTGGACGCGGACCCTTCAAAATCGAGAGGTACGTTATTTCATTCTGTAGCGGACGCGTCATTCATGCGTCTACACAGAACTCGGTTCAACGGAGCTGTCCCATCTGCTCACGCCTTTCGACCTGAAGCGTTTAGAGGCTTATGCCAACAACATGTTGGATTACCATGCTATCCTTGACCTTGTGCCCATCATTGCGACACTTTTCTTTGAGAAGCGCCTCTCCGGTACCGGGGAGGAGGGCGACATCCGGTTAAGCGCTGTACAGAGCGCCATTCTCCTCGGCCTCGGCCTCCAGCGCAAAGACATTGATGAGATCGAGGCACGTCCTTCTCATCACCTCTGCATGAAAGCATCCTCATACCGACATTCAGACGGAGCTCACTTTGCCCGTGTCTCAGACCCTGGCGCTGTTCAGCAAGGTGATACGGAAGATCACCAAGCGGCTGGTCGGGATACAGAAAGCCGCTATCGGCGCGGACATCCCGGATCCCTCGACTCGCACAGCCGCGTCGACGGACAAGAGCTGGGCACCCATACCCGTCTCCCTGGACGAAGAATTGAACGAGGCGGGGGCGGGCGAGATAAATAAGGAGAAGCAGCGGCAGCGCGAGATGATCGATAGCTTGGATCTGAAAAAGTGAGTCGCTCAAAATGCTTTGCCATGCCTTGATAGCCCATGCTCATCAGGTTGACTCTGACGTAGGTTCGCGATCAATGACACGTCAACAGACTGGAGCATGGCGGAGGGCCAGATCGGCAAGGGGCGAGGCAACACGGTTGTGAGTGTCAAATCGACCGTTGCCGCTGGGCAAAAGAGGAAGGGCGCACCTGAGGAGACGGCCAAGCCCGACGGCGACAAAAAAACGAGACGTGGCAAAAAGGTAAAGCGTTAGATCTCCTAGTACGCGAAAGCAAAACGAGGTACATGTTTCAAGTTGGGGGAGAATTCTATCCGGACATATGATACAATATCCAAGGCGCGCATGTATGCACAGATCTCCCTCCATAGAGTACAATCGTGGTGTTACACTTTTGATTCTCTATTTCCGTCTCACTCTTCCTGTACGACACCATTCTGGAAACTGTTGTCAGCGCGGAGTGAACCGGAGTGAGGCAAAGTGGGCGTACCTTGGCACTGTCGAACGGGTCCAAGCCTGCCGCAACCCGTGTGCCAGCGACGATGCCGCTCCAGTCGAGCACATCAACCGTCTCCTTTCCTGCTTGGACATTGCCGTTGTGGATCGCACGCGCAGTGATGAGATGCTGGTGAGCAATGTCGATACTGGGCATGGGCGAGTTATGGACCGCGGTGAGGCGGCGGATGTGTCTGAGAGGGATGAGGTTGGGCACGACCGAGGCCCGATGAGACTCACGACGCGTCTTTGATCCCGCCGTCGATTGAGAAGCCGGTAGTACCGTCGAACTCGTCGCGCGACATTCGCTCGGAGTACCGGATCAGGCTGCAGTGCAAGTGAGAGTCGTAAGTAGTTGTATCGAGGAGAACACATACCCGGGCGCTGGGAAGATATCTGCAGAGCGATAAGAGAGGGATTGTTTTATTTTGACAGTTAGAATAACATACCTTTGACAAGATTGTGGACCTCCGAGGCAGCAATGCCCGACTTTTCGGCTAAGGTATAGGATTCTGCGAGGATCTCTATGGTCCCGAGAATCATGCTGTTGCCGATCAATTTGCTAAGTTTTTGTTATCAGAACGCAGCGCGGGAGCCAGGATGAGAGCCTCACAAGGTCGGTGCTGCCGGGATGTTTCAGTGTCCAGCTCCGAAACGAGAAGGAAAGACTCACCTTTCTCAAGGTTTCCACCAAGATCTATCACCTTCCTGCCCACGGCCGGCACGAGCATGTACGCGACCTCCTTCTTGGACCTGTGGGCCGAATTGGTAAACCAACACGCTTGTGATCAAATTTCACTGACCGGTAGTCCCCAGACATAACTATGAGCAGCTGGGCCGAAGCGGCTACGCGCGGGGTCCCAAAAACGGGCGACGTGATGAGACGACAGTGTGCAACGGAAGAAATCAAAGTGTCGAGTTCGCCCGCTAGTGTTGGGTAAATCTGGGTTGTCCATGTTTTAAAAAATTGATACTTATGACCGCAGATGCCACTAACCGTGCTCGTCTCCACAAAGATCTTGTTCCTCAGGGGAGGCGAATGCTTCAGGGTTTCCGCAAACTGCTGGTAGACACTCTTCACAACCCCGTCATTGGCGAGATTCGTGAAGATGACATCGCACTCAGTCGCAATATGCTCCACCGACTTGGCAATACGGATCTTGTGCTGGCCGAGCTCACTGAAGAGCTGATCGCATTTCGCAGGAGTACGGTTCCAGATCAAGATTGGAGGAGAACCTTGGACGTGAGTGGCGCGGTGGTTCGCGAGGTTTTTAGCCATCGTTGCGCCCATAGCCCCGATTCCAACGAAGCCTATCTGGATGGGGAACGAAGAGCTACCTGGGGTTGTAGGTCTCGAGTAGGGAACCGCTGGAGTCTCTGCACCGCCGATTGGGGTCAGTGGAGCCAATCCAGCCAGATTGGAGTGACTGGATGAATGCGAATGAAGTGCAGAATGCAACAAGTCAGACATGGTGGAACTGAAGAGTGTACATGCGTTTCAATATTAAGAAACCCTCAGACAGCAACCGTACCTGAAAATTCTCGAGTTTGAATAGATCTCGTCGAGATCAAGCCTGAGGGCAGGGGTATACGTCACGTATGTCACACTTGTGCAAAGAGGTGATCCTGAGGCGAGGAAATTTCCAGGCCCGGGCCTGCTTAGGCTCGAAAAATATTTTACGGGTACGCCGAAGCCTCCATCGGGCTGGACTCGGCGTGGCAGGCCTAGGGCGAGCCCTGGTCATTACTATAATGGAAACAGGATCTTTGTTGCGCCAAACTTCTGGAAACACTGGTTTTCTGGAAATCGACATCGTGGTTGTTGGATAACCTCCGGTGAAGGGACTGATTTGGAAGAAACGGGGAGGTTGCTGGAGGACTGACGACGAACGCGTGCCGTAACGCGTCGGTAATCAGAACGCGTTCCTCATATCTCCATTTGAGCCACGGATCAGATATATCAGACTCAAAGCGGCAATCCTTGGGCAGATTCAAGGCAGTCATCTTCGCCTTGCGCGTTTAGCCAGATACACGCTGCAAATCGAACCCTTGAAATGCGCTCGTGTTAGAGCGCAAAACCGAACGTCGACTGTTACACGAAAGTAGTTTGATAAAATATTACTACATGCATGGAGTTATGATTCGACCGGGCCACGGAAGTCCTGCAACGCTGCAAAAGGACCAAGTTTCCGTCCTGAAATTGAGGTGTGCACAGCGACTCTTCACCCAACGCTAGGTGCATATTCTCGCCCCTACAGCACAAACAGGAGGCTCTCCGTATGTTTCCGATGCTTCCTAAGTCCAGTGGTTACGCCGCTGCGACTATGAAATTGAGAGGTCAAAGGTTCAAGTCCCACAGGAGGCATCCGGGCTGTAGTCTGTTGTTTCCGGCCGATCCCGGGAATAGTGGGCTGCCGACGGGGTGTACCAGAGTACCACCCCAGTACAATGACGGTAGAGAGAGTTCGTTCCATCAGTCGACGAAAGCCTCGCCCCACCAGGCATATTTTTGGGGTGCCCTACTCTGGAAGTGGGCTCGTCAGATAAAACGTTTTGTCAATGATCGGGTGTCAGTGGTACTTACACATATGAGAAGGGATCTTATGCAGGAATGGCACTGCTCCATCCAGGGTTGAAAACGTTGTGGTGTTGGTTTGATCCCTTGTTTTCAACGTGAAGATTCCAAGATTTCAAAAGCCAAAACATTGAAAAAGTTCTCGAAAAGCCCAAGTCATCCTTAGTGAGCTACGTTCGTGGATCCACGCTTGTCTTCGAAAAGAGAAGGAAGCAAGGGGCTTGACGAGGGTGATACCTTAAAGTCTGATGTGTTTGCGTAGCCAGTCTCCTGGCATTTCAAGAATGTATGCGCTAGATCCCGGATTCTCAATCAACTTCGCCAATCCTTCCGCAAGATTCATGACCACAGTTAAACCTTCGATGGGTCTCGAAAGAATATATCATTAATTTTCGTCCAGTCGTATCTATGATTTGAAGCGAAATAAATAGCTACCACCACTAGATGCGAGGTAATGAGTGACAGAAACCAGAGCACAAAGGAAACGTAGGACGTACCGGATGACATTCGCCGCCGTCCCAGTTCCATACCTGCTTCGCGTCTCCTATGACCATCTTGGCAAACTGCATCCCATTCCCCACCTCAACCTTCTCGATCCACCACCTCACCAACCAGTGGCGCGTGATGTACTTGTACCACACGTAGTACTTCCACTCGTAGCTGTTGATCACGCGCGGGTTGAGGTAGATCCGCTGCATGTCGAACTGCCTGCGGAGGTCGTACGGTAGGTTGAACGACTCCGACGAGAAGCACTCCTTGCCGCCAGAGCGGCGGAAGCTGAGCGGAGGTGTCTGGGCAGGGGTGAGGGAGGCGGGTTGCGGGTACGCGGGATGCGTTTCGGGGAGCGGGCGGGAGAGCGGGGAGGTGGAGAGGCGTCCGGGTGTGCGGAGGGCGATGGGGAGGAAGGGGTCGGCACGGATGGCGACGATGCCATTCCAGCAAGTGAACACGGGCGCGGGCTCGTTCTCCATGACGGCCTGCATGCCGGCGTCTTCCAGGAAGTACGGCCATAGGGACGATACGAGCCGGCCCAAACGGTCGCGAATGACCCAAGCGTCGTAAAGCCTGCAAAGGTCAGCTTTTGAGGATGCAATGAAGGAGAAAAGCTTACCCCCATCTCGCTAGGTCCAGTCCACACACCATATCCCACTCCCCATTCTTTGTTTTCAGTAGCTCTATGACGGAATCTGCGTCTATGAAGATGTCGTTGCTGAAGAGCACGATGTCATAGCCGCCCCGCTCTATAAGCGGTGCTAGGGCCAAATTTCGGCTCGCGGAGAGAAACTCGATCCGGGGGATCCCAGTCGACATGTCTGTTCCTTCTTCACGACCGTGCAGAGCTGTAAGGCGAGCACGCACCTTCCGGCCGTTTTATTGTTGTGTCGCGCGTGCGGATTAGATGTTGGACACCCATTTGGTCTAGAGTGCTCTTCCAATCGTCTAGCAACTCGGCGGTACCATCCCAGCTGTTCGACTCGACGACGGAGATGAAGACGTTTTCCTACGAGCCAAATCAGCTTGGAATACAAGGGGAACATACAGGGCTTACAGTGCCAATGTATTGGATGACCTTGGTGAACTCCTTGATCCAGTACGGAAGGATGGCTACATTGTTATTAAACATGACGGCGATGAAGACTTTTGCTTCAAGATATTTATCAGTGGAGAGGACTTTCATTTAATCGAATTCCACATACTTCCATCGTAGTAACCGCTTGCTTTTGGCACGCGAAGCGCTGCTTGGACTTCTGGTCTGTACCGATGGTCGTCGGAAAATTCGTATGTCCTGAACAAGTACACCCCACTGAGGGCCACGGAAACGAAGACGGCGAGCCAACCTATACTCAGATAGTGTCTGCCGAGGAACGCCGGACGCAGGCGACGCGTCTGGGTACGCTGGGATGAGCCATCATTTGGGTGGACATCATCCATCGGAATAGCAACCTGGTAGTCCCCACGTTTCCTCTTCATCCGTCCCAATAGATACCTCCCCAGCGCCCATAAAAGGACACCAAAGGACATGCACAACCCCCAGGTGGGGATGGTGGCCATCAAAAGGACGAGTCGCGTCCGCAGGAGCGGCCATGCTGGTTCAAATATCCCAGAGGCATACTGGGATGACCAATAGTTGGAAAAAGAACTATAGATGAACCACAGCAGGCATGCCGGGAGTGTTATGAAGGCCGTCCGTAACCCAAAGGATACGGTAAAAGCCAGCAACCCAAGAATTGGAGAGAGTGCACGGCTCGTGTTTGGCCGTTGGCTCGCGGAAATTAGCCAGGCAAAAGATTGCGCTGCACGTGGCCGTACACTAGCATAGCTCATCTGTCGCCATCCATCTTGCATGAAGGGCCAGGGAAAAAGGAGGGTCAAGGCAAGGTAAAGGTGAGCGTTTAATTGAGTGCTGACAAAGCAAGCGCCGCAGTGCTTCAACGTTTCATAAATTTTCTCAGCCGGAGAAAGGAGCTTCCAAAATGCTGTTGTCTGCAGGTTCTAATGCGCACGGCCAGCTCTCTAATAATTCTATTGAAGATTCACACTTGTTCGCGCCATGTTCTTTCGACGGTTCCGTGCCAGGTGTTCTCCCAGCTGGCCGAAAAATTTTGAACTTGGCGTTCGGTGCCAACCATACGCTGGCGCTACTAGAACTCCAGGACGGGACGACGGAGCTATGGGGCTGCGGCGATGGCGGTTCGGGGCAGCTTGGACGCCAGTATACCGATGAGGGTGCAACGACGATCTTTAGACTTCTCGATCTTGCTTTGGAGCGACATGCATTGCCCGGATACCTCCCAGGACTGGTGTGTGCTTCTTGGGAAACGACGTATGTCGTGTTGTCGTGTCCGGAAAAGCCAGATATTCTCATTTCAATGGGCGCGAACGATTTCGGGGATCTGGGAATTGGCTCGAAGCAGGAGGAGAAATTACCCGCTCATGATTTCCACATCGTTAGATTTGACCATCTCTCTGTGGATAGTCGCTCGCTTCTCGTGGAGTCGCTGGCCGCAGGGCAGCATCATGTCGTTGCCAGACTGAAGACTGCATCGGGGGCCTTGATCGTTGGATGGGGCACCTCACGGCATGGCCAGCTCGGGAACATCGATAAACCGTTTCTCTCCTCCCCTGCAATAATCTCACCGGGACAGCCTGACGACGCCGTCGTATCTGCCGCTTTGGGTCACCAGCACACGGTTTTCCTGCACGCCTCTGGGACTGTGTCGGGACTCGGCTCGAACAGAAAGCGCCAGTTAGACGGCATCGATCGTGCTGCCCACGTCCAGAGCATAGACTGCACCTGGAATGGGACGTACATGGCGACTGAGGACCGGGACCTCTTGTCTGTAGGCAACAATGCGAACGGCCAGCTCGGTCGGGACGATGGCGACGTTGATTCACGCGTGAAATTTCCATTTACTTCAGCGACGCATCGAATGTCGAAAATCGCATGCGGGAGCGAGCATGCCCTCGCCTCTTTCGTGGTGAGCGATTCTTCCGCAAGCGAGGTTTGGGGCTGGGGCTGGAACGAGCACGGGAATTTGGGTATTGGCACAACGAACGATGTGCGTACACCGGTTAGAATCTGGCCTACAGAATCATCGCAGGCCCCAAGCGGGCGTGTCGAGATCTGGGCGGGCTCAGGGACTAGTTGGATCGTGGTACAGTAAATTCAGATTCGACTCCAAATACAGCAGCAAAGTCATCGCGCTCAATCGCTGTCCCGCAAGTCGAGATCTTCGTGTATCTGTCTGATCGTAGTTTCTTTCATCGTAGCAAGCTGTTGAGGCGTTCAGTAGACTGCAGAGCAACTGGAGTAGGCTCACTTTGCCAATAAGAATCTAAGTAAGATGGGCTGGTCAAGAAAACCCATGACGACTGGGATGCAGCTTCCCTCACCTGCGTCGCGTCCTTTGCCTCGTTGTATCGATGAAGCAGCTTTATGTGTTTCTTGGTGATCGCCTCTGCGTCCTCATGCTCCCTGGGAGCCGAGTTCGTATAAAAGCGGGATGCCTGCGTATCGACCTCGGCCTGCAGAGCAGCGACGCGAGCCTCTTGCTTCTAGTTTCATAATGAGCGAGATTTGAGCGAATTTACGCGTGAACCATTCGCACTTTGGCTGAAATTGGGGCATGCATGAGGGTAGAAGGTAGAGTCTCAAAGACGTTATTACGTATCTACGAAGTGCATATCCATACATTGTCCATTTCCTAGGCTACTTACAGTTGCTGGTAGTGTTGTCGACCTATACTGTGCAAAGAATTTCGCCATGCATCAGACCGAACCAAGCGTCGGGCTGCGAACCCCAGTTCTTCCACGCCTGCGACATATTTTCCAGAATCTCCTGTGTAGCAAACCCACGCTCCAAGGCACCCGTAGCGAAGGTGGAAGAGAGGACACGGTCTGACCAGGACGACCCCCACCAGGCGACTTCCTCCGGTGTGCTGTAGCACCAAGTGCTCGAACTACATTTGATTTGGTCCCGCGTCAGTCCGGCTTGAAGCGCCCAGGACAGTAACCGCCGTCCGGCGTCGGGTTCCCCTCCGTTCGCGCGCGCGACCTTGGTATGAGTTTCATGCCAAAGCGAGACCCCGTCGCTCTCCGGATACCAGGCCATTGCTGAGAAGTCTGTGTCTCGAACGGCGACAATCCCTCCTGGTTTGGCGACGCGGACCATTTCGCGCAGCGCTAGGATTGGGTCTGAAACGTGTTGGAGTACTTGGTGCGCGTGGACGACGTCGAAAGAGTCGTCAGGAAAGCTGAGCGCCAATGCGTCCTCAAGGGTATAGGTTACG